TGAGAAACCTACTTATTGTAAAATAGTGATAATTATTCTACACTCAACTATTAATACTCTAACTAATAATCAATATTAATATCACATTTTAAAAGTTACTTCTATTTTTAAAATCTCATTGAAATATTATAAATATAAAATGTACAAACATATAATTATTAGTTAGTGAACAATATTATAGGAGAATGATTATAGAAAAATAATCAATATTCACGAATGATCATTATTTGTAAATTATCAGACAACAAATTCGACATACGTTGAGAAATATACGTTACGAATGATATATCCAATATAAATCAGAATGAAACGATAAGGGAAATCTTCGGAAAGGGTAAACGATAAAACCGCAAATATTTATTATTGACATAAGGGTAACTGAACTTCACTATCTCAGCATAAAAATTCATCCATCTCTGAAACATCGAAACAAACTGCAAGTCCAATGCTGAAGTTGTAATCAAGTCTAGATGGTTCGTACTGATTGACAATTTTCCATTGCCTCTTCACCCTCCAATACCCTTTTCTACCATCACCACTCCTCACACTATCCATCACTTCAATACCCCTCTTTTGAAATCACGTTTCGTTTCTGTTGCACATAAAGCCGCGTTCATACTGATTATTACGGCCACGTGAAAATTGTTATTGGGATTAATCAGGATTGTGCAGTTTCGCTCGAATTCAATGTTAATCGAATAATTGAAGCCCATGCATCAGTTGAGGGAATTACTCACGCTAAAAACGATAGAATATTTTAAAAGCCTGCCTGGTAAACGAAGGGCAATAAACAAATTGATCAGAAATAGATTCTCTAAACTCTAAACAATTCAAATAGATATACACCTATTTTATCGCGAGTAATTTAAAATAAACAAATTTAACAGTTTAATTTAATTTAAAAAACCAGATAGTTTACACACATAAACAACTATTTTAATACCGTCGTTCATCCTTAAAAATTATTTAGCTACACGATACTCTAAAAAAATTTTCAAATATTAAAATTTATTGTTGTGTTAAATATTAAACTTTTTAAAAATCTAAAGGATGATCCTCGGTGAGATCCTAGAAATATATAAAATTAACATTCTATTTTTAACGTAAAATAAATGTTGTTTGCAACGCAAAGAGAATCAAGTTGGAAATACAGAACGTTGTAATTAGGAGAATATTTACGAGATAGCTAGTATCGATTGCGTTCGAACTCCTTTATAATGAATTTATCGAAAATGAAAATGTAAAGGCAGAACGATAAAGTCTGGAAGCGGCTTAATGGAGTCAAGTGGCGGACGAGAAAGAACGAATAAAAAAGAAAAAGACGAGATATGTCATCTGAAAATTGGAATATTCGTTTGCTCGATGGCTACCTCGCTTACTATTCGTTTAGAGATTGGTGTACAATTGAACGTTTCATATTCCGGAGAGAAGATTAAACATGACGAAATTAATTAACGGTGGCGGTATATTTTTATACGACATATCGGAAACGGGTAGGTCCCTCGAGTTGATGCAAAAATAAATTAAATTAAAAACATCATCAGCCAGAGAGAAAGTGACAAAGGACAGAACTTGTTTTTCAATAAACTTTCATAAGCATCTTGATTCCTTACCGTTCAAAAAATTCTTCGATATAAATTGCCCCGGAGCAGCGACAAATGTATAACGACTTTTCGTTGATCGCCCTTGATCCTATCATAATAGAAATATTTTCTGCGCTATTGAATCGCGAATCAACGATTGTAAAGACGACGTGTTTTTACAGCCCTTCAAAGTTTGCCACCCTAGATACAAGTGAGCTCTTGTGAGTAACAATAGCGTCGAACAATAGCCACTCGGATTAAGATGTAAATTAGTTCATAAGTCACAACATTATGCAATTGTCAGCTGCCACGAAATACCCATTGTTATGCCAATAAACTTCGAAGATCCGTGCATTAAGTTACAAGCTGAAATGACTTTCGACTTTTATCGATATTTCTAGATGTTGTGCGTTATAGTGCGAGCTTAATTTTCTATGATAATTATGAGTATATGCGGCGTTGTTATTGAATTACCTCCATCATGAAGCAACCTTATTATTATTACCTTCATGAGCTTAATGGCCTGATGAGCTAAACGAAAGAATGTCGTTTTGTCACAAGTCACGACGTGATCTACAATTATTAAATATTCCAAATGTTTTCCTAAATGGTTCGTTGTATCATTTTATTATATGAGAGGAGAATCAGAAACATTCTCTTATTCGCAATTTTCTTTTCAAGCATTTTGTCAATTTTTTCTAATCCAAAAAAAATTAAAATATTTTATATACCTTATAAAAATATAATTAAAAAGAATTATTTATACCTATAGGAGAGTCGTAGCTAAGTTTTAAATTGGTATTTAACGCGTTTTTGACTTTAGAATGAAATATTTAATATTAGTAAAAGTGAAAGCGTACTTTTTATTCTATAATAAATTATTATTTTATAATATTATTCAGACATTGATGTGGAATTATTTATTAGTATTACTCTTAAAAATACGTTTTATGATGTTTCATAATTTATTTATAAGTTACTTAATGCAAACTAACACTTTTGAAGAAACGTACATGTTTACATACAATATGAAAGTAATGTAGCGATTCATGAATCAGATATTTTCGTCGCATTAGCTCGCTGCTCATCTATTTAGGTACTAGAACCAACAAGAGAAACAAGACCGTAATGAGTTTTTTCCATTATTTCACATTTACATTTCGACTCCACAATAACGTATAACTGCTGATTCTTCTAATTTGGTTGCTGAAAGCTTCCGGCAAATTATTCCGCATTCATTAAGGAGATATTATTTTAATATGCGTATACGCGACGCAGCGCCGCGGCGATTTATCAGTTAATTTATGGGAATAAACTGGGAATTTTAGTGTTCATTATTTTCCTTTTTCCGGGTCAAGGTAGAAACAGGACCAAAGTTCATTGTTATTGTTTCTGTCTCTTTAGACCCATGAGTGTATCACCTCCTACTCGTAAACAGTTCGCATGAAGATGATAATGCTGTAGAAAAGTATATTTGAAAAATTTTGTAAAAAATTTTCAAAATTTAAAAAATGATTATACGTATTTTTGAAAAATCGACTGAAATAGCAGTGCACGTTCGTATTGTTGAACAATATGAATAATGAATGGTTGCAGTTCAATTGACTATATCTAGGCTTCTAAAAATACGTTTGGAAATTATTGACAGTATACAAATATTAGTGAAAGTAGAAAATAATTGAATTTTGCAACATAAAATATTTCATATAATATACAGTCAGTTTTAATAATCTTTTAAAAAGAATATATATATATATATATATATATATATATATATATATATATATATATAAAAGTTATATATAAATGTATAAATATAAATATAAATATAAATATGTGTGTGTGTGTCTAATATTATCCGTCGCGCCTGAAATATTAAGGTGTACAGCAGCGTGGAATGTCTTTTCCATATGGAAATGCAAATCTTTCCACATGTATACTGTTATACTACATGTCAATATAATTATACAGTATGCAATGTTACATAAATCTTTCATGGTTTATATGTGACTTAAAGAAACAGAAATGCAATATATTATATATATCCATATTAGTTCAATGAAATAGTTTAAAATTAATTAATAGATTAAAATTTTGCGTAATTTACAATTAATTTCATTTTGTAAAAGCTTAACAGTCAGACGTTAAGATATTTTACTAGCTGGCTAAATGTATGTTATTGTTACAGTACTGATATGTATTGAATTTTTTGCCGCGTTGACACCAAAGGTTACTATGCCGATGTATTTGATACACAATAAAACAGTGACGTACTTGTATCAAGTGCTTTTCATATACGTATCTTTCACATTTGCGTAAAGTTCAAATTCAAGTCATCATTCCAAATATCTATATATTTCGTATGTTTTATTATCTATATTTTTCGTATGTATAATTCTCTTATCTACTGCAAATATTTTTGAGCATCCCTGCTCAAAATACATTATATATTATAATAAATATTGTTTTGTTTTGTGTTTCCGTATGCATTGTGTTATATATGTCGAAATTTTTTTTTTTCAGCACTGAATTTATT